TAATTGAGGAATTAAATGAGTTCTGAAAAACAATTTTATCAATAGAAACTACATGTGGGAGATCAGCCCAGGCAGATAAGCTATCAAGCTGCCTGCAAACAATTGCATGTTTAAATCTCGTGAAGGAGTTGGGGAATGGGAAGGTTGTCCTATACTGTGGAGTACATTAAATCCAAAAAATCACGAGTAAAAAAATAAAAAATTAATAATTTATCTCAATTATAATTTATTAAAAGTGCATGTTGAAAAATACCTCTAGAAATCATATTGTTGTACTCCACATTCTCATCGCTTGAGCTATCATCTGCAAGAAAATTTTCTACATCTTCACATTTACCATAGTCTTTGTTATCTTTCATCAGTTGTAAAATTCCAGGATGGTTCCATATCTACAGTAAACAAATTATAGTTTGTTAAACTTATAAAGTGAGAATAGTAGACCAATCAATTAAAAATATAAAAAGTAACACCTCAAAAGTAATTTTGATAATGGCCCCAATAATAGGCTTTTGTACATGTGAAAATAAATGGTGACACCAACTACAACATTACCATATGTGGCAGATATAGACACCAATAACAGTTACATTTACTATGACCAAAGATGAATGCAGAAAAATACATGAACTAGAGATTAGCGAAGTTACAAAACACTCAACCATCACTTACATAACAGAATAAACAAGCAAAATGAGGAGTCAAAATGTTCATCAGAGTCGAAAGAAATCAAACTCTATAAACGTATTAAAAAGTTATGCAATAGAATGAAGTTTGCAACTTGTGTATTACACGAACACTTCAACTAGGGTGATGTGGCATGTCCGTGTCCAACACATGTTAGATATCGAAACTACTTTGACACTCTACCATGATCATTTTTCTTTATTATTAAATAACAAATCAGTACCCATATTGAAAAGCTTTCAACAAGAAAAATTAGTGAGTCTAAAACAAAATTTTTATTATATAAATGAAAAATTTTAAAGAAACCAATCAACGTATTGGTGACGTATTGTAGTAGTACTTTTTTGAAAAATCACATATTCAACACACACGTTTGTGCTAGTTCATCATAGTTTGCAACTCTTCAACTCTGAGGTATTTACATGTATTCTATTGTGGAAAATGTGCATAATATGGTTGTCATCTATTGTAGTCTCAGTAGCACGAGCACTTTAACGAGAGTAGCGTGTCCGTACTCGACAAGTGTCGAACACGTGTCGATACTGACACTCTTTGAACACTCATCATAATTATTTTTCTTTTTTTATTAATATATAACTTAAAGTTATTAGTAATGTTATAGAATGTATATATTGTAGAAATTATAATTCCTTAATTATAGGAATCCCCAATTAGGATCTTCCTAATATAGAATTCCTTTGTGTGTGTGTGTGTGTATATACCATCTCCTAGAATTAATATATGAGAAAATTATTTTTCCTCTCTTCTACTTACATGGTATCAGAGCCGACGCTTCTCTTCCAATTGTTGGCGACGTCTCAACTCTCTTGAGGGTCGATTTCTTGGACCGTGCCAGTGGCGACATCGCCAGTGGGTGATTGGTTGGGTCGCGATCTCTACACAACCGTTTGTGACTGTGTGGTGGTCGTCTGTACTTTGTCATTGACAGTAGGGTCCATCGATTTGGGCAGCTATCTTCTTAGTAAGCATACTACCGGTACCGAATCTGTGTTTGGTGTCGACGTTCTGCATCGTCGGCATGTTTGGAGTACGGGTGGTGATTGTAGCTCTATGGGGGTCTCTGGTAGTGATCAAGTAGTTGGACTATGTTTGATTTGGACCTTACTTGGGCATTTTTGTGGTGATGCTTTAATTTGGGCCTTGGTGCATTGGACCTAAATTGGTTTTCATTTTGTGGGCAATGAGACACCTTTTGGTTTGGGCTACTTCTTTGATTTGGTACTTGGACCTTGAAGTTTGTTTTCATAATTGACAAACAAAAGACTTTAGTTATGACCAATGTTATTCCAGTGATGTCCAAAATCACGGAGCATAAATTGTTAGGTTCAAATTATTTAGATTAGTGTAAGACAGTTCGAGTTTATCTGCGGAGTATTTCTATGGAAAATCACCTCACTGAAGATCCACCAACAGATAATACTCACCAAACATGGCTGAGAAATGATGCCCGATTATTCTTACAAATCTGTAATTCCATTGACACAGAGATAGTCAGCCTAATTAATCACTGAGTGTATGTTAAGGGGCTAATGAAATATTTAGAATTTATGTATTCTGGAAAAGGGAACGTGTCACGTATTTATGAAGTTTGTTAAGGTTTTTACCGTGCTGAACAACAAGATCAGTCTTTTCAAGCCTATTTCATGAATTTCAAAAAAACGTATGAAGAATTAAATGTCTTGTTACCTTATAGTCCTGATGTGAAAGTTCAGCAAGTTCAGCGAGAGCAAATGGCTGTGATGAGTTTTCTAGCTAGACTTAATTCTCAGTTTGAAACTGCTAAATTCCAGATTCTCTCTAATGTTGAGATTCCATCTCTTCAAGAAACCTTTGCTAGAGTACTTCGCGCAGAGTCCAGTGGTTTTGTTGCTTCATCTGTTCAGTCTTCTAGTGCTCTTATCAATCGCATTAGTAGAGGTAATACAAAAGGCGGGAGTACAAGTAGTCAGGTCAATCGAAGTCATACTGAAGGAGTTGTCTGCTACTACTGTCACGAGTCGAGTCATACCAAATACTCATGCTGAAAATTGCACAATAAATCTCAGAAGTCTCACTCAGCTCATGTTGCAGCTGCTACTACTACTATACCCATCTCATCCTCTGAGCAGACCATTATAGTTCAGATGAATTTGCTAAATTCACTCAATACCAAGAAGCATTGAAGAACTCGTCTCGCTCTACCTCTGCCAGTGCTGAGACAGGTAAACCTAACACGTCTCATCTCTTCTTCCTCAAAATGGGTCATTGATTCTGGTGTCACGGATCATATGACAGGTAATCCTAGTCTCTTCTCTACTTTTCAGTCACACTCCCTCCAATGTTACTTTGGCTGATGGTTCTACTTCAGTTCTCGATTCTGATGTCCGTGAGCAATGTTACTTTGATGTCTGTGAGCAAACTTACTCGGATCTTAAACTGTTGTGTCTCATTTTTTCCTAATTACTGTCTTTTTCAGAATCTTATGACGAAGAAGATTATTCGTAAGGGACATAAATCAGGCAATCTCTATATTCTGGATACATAGGTGCCCAAGTCTATTGCGTGTTCAGGTGTTTTAACTCCTTTTTCAGCACATTGACGGTCGGTACATCCATCTCTACCATTGTTAAAGAAATTATGTCCTCAGTTTCAGAATGTGTCATTTTTAGATTGTGAGTCGTGTCAGTTTGCAAAACATCTTCGTCTGTCCTCAATTCCTCGAGTCAATAAAAGAGCTAGTTTTCCTTTTGAGTTAGTTCATTCCGATGTTTGGGGTCCTTGTCCTATTGTGTCCGAAACTGCATTTTGGTATTTTATTATTTTGGTTAACGATTTTTCTCGTGTGACTTGGCTTTATTTAATGAAGAATCGTTCTGAATTATTTTCTCATTTTAGTGCCTTTTGTACTAAACTTAAAACACAATTTAATGTTTCTGCACATACATTGAGAAGTGATAATACCAAAAAACATTTTTTCGATTCTTTTCAGACTTATATGCTTCGGAACGATATTCTTCATCAATCCTCGTGCGTTGACACCCCCTCTCAAAACGGTATGGCTGAAAGAAAAAATAGACACCTTCTTGAGGCAACTAGGGTACTCATGTTCCAAATGCATGTTCCTAATAATGCCAAAAAATATTTTTTCGATTCTTTTCATATGTGCTTCGAAACGGTACTCTTCATCAATCCTCGTGCGTTGATACCCCTCTCAAAATGGTGCGGCTGAAAGAAAAATAGACAACTTCTTGAGACAGTTAGGGTACACATGTTCCAAATGCATGTTCTTACACAATTTTGGGCTGATGCAATCTCAACAGCCTATTTTTTTATTAATCGTATGCCTTCATCCATTCTTCATGGTGAGACTCCTTATGGTGTTCGTTTTCCCATTAAATCCTTGTTTCCTATTGAGCCTAGGATATTTGGTAGTACATGTTATGCTTGTGATGTTCTTCCCCAGATAACCAAATTAGATTCCAAATCCTTAAAATGTATTTTCCTAGGTTATTCTCGTCTACAAAAAGGTTATCGATGTTACTGTCCGAGTCTTAACAAGTACCTTGTGTCAGCTGATGTTACCTTACTAGAACATATTCCTTTCTTCCCCACAACTTATACTTCTCTCAGTAAGGGAGACGATGATGATCTGTTGGTTTATCATGCCACTTACCAGTCAACTGATGTTACTCCTATACCCGTTGTTCCCATACCACCTCCACCTATTTGCCAGGTGTAATCCAGACGACGAAAATCTCTTGATGCATGTTCCGCACCTAACCCTTCTTCGGCATCGAATCCTGTGTCCAGTGATCTTGATCTCCCTATCGCTCTTCGCAAAGGTAAACATCAATGTGCTTATCCTATTTCATCCTTTGTTTCTTATGATCTCTTGCCCTCTTCCAATTGTTCCTTTGTTGCCTCTATAAACTCTATGACTCCTTCGAAAACTGTTCATAAAGCCCTATCCCATACTGGTTGGCATAACGCTATGGTAGAGGAGATTAATGCTGCTGGTACTTGAGATTTAGTGAATTTACCTGCAGGAAAAGGCTATTGGATGTAAGTGGGTGTTTGCGGTCAAAGTCAATCATAATGGATCAGTGACTAGACTTAAAGCTCGTCTTGTGATTAAGGGCTATGCCCAAACTTATAGTGTGGATTACTCCGACACTTTCTCTCCTGTTGCTAAATTAACATCCGTTCACTTGTTCATTTCTATGGCAACTACACATAATTAGCCCTTACATCAATTAGACATCAAAAACGCTTTTTTACATGGTGATCTACAGGAGGAAGTTTATATGGAGCAACCACCTGGGTTTGTTGCTCAAGGGGAGTGTGGGAAAATGTGTCATTTTCGAAGGTCCTTATATAGTTTGAAACAAAGTCGATGTGCGTGGTTTGGAAAATTCAGCCAGGCAGTGAAAAAGTTTGGAATGCAAAAAAGCAAGTCTGACCACTCAGTCTTCTACAAACAGTCTGAATCCGACATTATTCTACTTGTTGTGTATGTTGATGATATTGTTATTACTGACAGTGATACTAAGGCAGTTTCATCTCTAAAGTCCTTTCTTCACACTCAATTTCAAACGAAAGACTTAGCGGTGTTAAAAAAATATTTCTTGGGAGTTAAGGTCACAAAAAGCAAGGAAGGCATCGTTTTATCTCAGAGAAAATATGTACTAGACTTATTAACTGAGACAGAAAAATTGGGAGCTAAG